GGATTTATTTATGAAGCTATGGATAGAGCGAAGGAAGAAATTGCTTCAAACTTGAACCATGTGAGAGGTAGATATAAGCGCATTTGGGAAATTATTAATACTAGATGGGATTTACAACTCCATAGGCCTTTGCATGCGGCGGCATATTACCTTAATCCGATAGTTTTTTTCTATTTTTGTCAAATTATTTGTGTTGTGTTGTGTGACTTATATACAAAATGTATAATGGAATTTATTTATGAATTTATCTTTCTTTCTAGGTTTCATTACGGAGGTGGAAAATGTGTTTATTTAAAACCATTGAGAGGATGTATCCGGATATAGAGGATAGAGTGAAGGTTGATGAGCAATTAGAAAAGTTCAAGAAGGCCGAGGGTATGTTTGGTATGAGCATGGCATCTTGACAAGGGACAAGAAACAACCCGGTAAAATTTTTTATTATGAAATTATATATTCACAATTTCACAACAATTATGTTGCAATGGCATGCATTATTCTCTAACATCTCTTTATCATTAATTACAGCTCTATGGTGGAAAAGTTACGAAGAAGAGTGCAAAGAGCTTCAAAAGCAGCTATTAGAGTGCTAAGTCTTACTTGTAGTGCACGGGTGTGAGAGAAATTGGAGCACTTTTGATCATGTGCACTCGAAGAAAAGAAACCGATTGGATCAACAACGGTTGAATGCTTTGGTTTTGTGAAGTATAACATTCAACTTGAGTTGAGGCAAATTAAGAGACAAGAAAGGGGTGAGACTATGATCCTATTTATTTATCGGATATGGAATCCGATGATGAATGGATTACGAGAAAGAAGATCCATGTCTACCCGAAGATCATTCATGGATGGACACCAAGAGTGTTTCGAAGATGATGAAGGAACAACTAGCAAAAAGAGAAAAAGAGGTATAATTCTATATTTTAATTTTTAAATAAGTTAATTTCAAAGATTTAGTTTCTATATTTTTCACATTACTTGCTCATTCATAACCTTATTTAATTTTATTAATGTAGGACCAAGAAATTTAAATGCCATCGATAGAGGAAAAAGAAAAGTATTTGAAGATGATGATGAAGTTGAATTGATTGAAGGTGGGAAGAGGAAGAGGAAGAGGAAGAGGAAGAAGAGTTTGATGAAGTGACTATGGTTAGATGATGATGAAGATGATATTGACCTTGGAGATAATGAGAATGAAATGAAGAAGAAATGAAGACTTTTTGGAATTTTTTAACTTTGTCTAATCTATTTTTGTGTTTGTATGGTCTCTTTTTGACACAAGTTACTTTACAAGTATAGATTAGAGTTTTGAAAAGTTTAGAACTTGTTAAGTTGTGAACCTTATTCATGATGAATGTGAATTGCCATACATATATGTTGTGATGTGAATTTACATAAATTTATATTATAAATACATAAATATAATATAGGATCATAGATCACGGTGGGGCTCGAACCCACATCTCTTGCCATAAAGGCGTCTTACCTATTTAGACCACGTGATCATCATGTAAAGTAACATTTTTATTACTTTAAATCTAAATATTTCATATTTATAATATTAATTGTATAAATATGTTTTTTTTATGTAATTTAGAAAACGTAAGTGAATCTTTACGATTCACGATTCGATTCGATTCGCGATTCGGTACATGGCCATTTCGATTCACGATTCGAATCCCGATTTGACAACATTGGTGTAGATATTGGACTATGAGCATAACCTACCTTCACCATCCTCTACCTTCAACCATTCCTCAGCAAACAGGGCTTTAGAGAAACAACCTCCAACCTATCATTCAATCTATGTCCTTTTAACCTGTTCCCAAAAGACAAAAACAAAAATGTAATAATTAATTAAAATTTGTAATAAAACATTCATAAATATATGTATGTATATCAAGACTTACCTCATGTCATAGAAATAGTTGGTGAGGTGGCATGTGTCTACATTGACTGCTAGCAGCCTCCTTACGTCAAGTATTTATCAGTTGAGATACCCTTCATTTCCATAGAATTACGTTATTAATCAAGTAGTTAACAAATTTAAACAATAATATATTAAAAAAAATGCTTTTTTTTTTCAATAAAATATATATGCGCTTTTATGGGGGGAAAAATAAAACAACAATACCTTGAGAACCACTTGTGTGTCATAAGGTGTGATGACTATAATATAAGAACATAGAACTGCAAAATGGAAAGAAAAAACAAAAAAAAATAATAACTCATTAATTAAAAAAATTAATGTGTTCAAATCGAGAAAAAGAAAAGAAATTAATTGATATACAATATAGATGGAAGTGGGTGTCTAACCTTTCTCTTCTTTCTTCTTTTTCTCTGCCTTAGCTTTGTTGCCCTTTGCTCTACTTGACTTTGAGCCATTTCTCTCTTTTTTTTTTTCTTTTCTTTTTTTTTTTTTTACTTCTTTTTGTCTATGAATGAGGATTCTTGGAGGCAAATTCAAAAAACCCATTTCAGATATAATCACTAATTAATAATGGTAATTAATAATAGTAAGATTACAGATAAATTCAGTAAATCCAATGATAACGATGACGACGACAATGGTTATGAAATTGGTGAGAGAAAGAGAGAAGTATAAGCAGAGAAGAGGATGATAAGAGAATAAATGAAAGGAGAGATTGAAACAAGAAGAGCTTTTAGAGAAAGAAAAGTGAAATGAAAATTCTATGAGAGGATTTGAAGAGATAGGATAAGGGTTTTGGGTTTACCCTCTTTTGGATTTGTGAGCAATCCTGACCTCACCTTAGATTCTTACAAATTAAAGAGGATATAACAAAATGACCCAAAACATGTTAAACAATTTAATATTCTATATGCAAAAGTTAAAAAAATCTCAAATATGGCTGTGTCAATGTAGTGGTGGCAGGAGGATGATGGTTGGAGTAAGGCGTAATAAGTGGGTTCCTTGCTTTGTATTGGCTTTCTATTTTATTTGTTATATATGCAAACCCAAGCAATGTTTAAGGATGTCTTGCTCAGCAATGTTTATAGAGTTCCAAGCAAGTTGGAAAACAGCCTTAATCGTTAAACCTCTTCAAATGAAACTTACTTGCTGATCTCAAGATCCCAAGGGG